TATTAGTTTAGAACCTTCTTATTTAGACAAAAAGGGGGAGATGTAGTGAGTAGCCATTCCAGCTTGCATCTGGAAGTTCCAACCCCCATTGAGACTCTGGCAACTGTCACGCCTACGAGGCGGGGCAAGGGGAGGCTCCTGGAGACCCGAGAGCTGAATGGGCCAGTGCTCTCTCTGTGCGCTCTCTCTGTGCCGGGACGCTGAATGGTGAAGGTGGACTGTGCAGAGCTCCGGAGAACACCGCTGGACTGCGATACACCTTCCCCAGACCCTGCGACCTACCTTTCACTTAATTTGTGAGTTATGCCATTAAATAAATATCCTTTTAACTACGTGGAGTGGCCAAAATAATTTCTCCAATAGACCAGTGTTACAGACCACTTTCTCTTGCCTGCAAGATGTAGGACTCTCATCTACTTCTCCAGTACCATGTCTGCCTGCAGGCCACCATGTCCCACCATGATGATAATGGACTGAACCTCTGAACTGTAAGCAGGTTACAGCTTTCCTTTATAAGACTTGTCATGGTCATGGTGTCTGTTCACAGAAACAGAAACACTAACTAAGACAGATGGTTTTAGGCAACCCCCATTAAAGGACCATATGCCACACAGGATTCATACAACAAGCACATATAAGCACAAGCATGTTTATGTATAAAGATTTTTTAAATGTTTATAAGAAATACTTTTTATCTGATGTGTATGCATGTTTGTCCTGCACATATGAATGTGCACCTCATGACTATCTGGAATCCACAGAGGACAGAAGAGACAGAATCTAATCCCCTGGACAAAGAGTTACAGAAAACTGAGCCATCACATAGTAGCTGTGAAGGAATCCACATTTTCTGCAAGAACAAGTGTTCTCAATGGCTAAGCCATCTCTACAAACACCCGGAATTATATGTTTTATAGTTCTCTTCATCCTTTGTAGCGGTAACGCCCGCATTACCGATACCCGTTCACCATGTCCGAGCGAAGGGCTGTGGATTAAAAAATAGAGACAAGAGACAGCGGGTCATTCGTACGATTGGATGTTGAATGCCGTTTATTGAAAGAGGGAAGAAACCTTAAATACAGGCTTACAGCACAAATGGAGGAACCCCCAGAGGGCAGAAGTTCGCTACCAATGGTCTACATTCCAGACCCAATGTTCTACATTCTTGCATCTAAGTTGTTAATGCCCAAAATGCAGGATACACAAACAAGGAACTTCCCTTAAGCATTCAGAAGGGTGGATATTGGCTGGGAATCTGAATAGGGAGGACATCTGATCAAGGTCAGCAAGCAAGGCCGCAGCCACTCCCAGT